ATATATATATATATATATATATATATATATATATATATATATATATATATATATATAACACATTTTAGTTTCTGGAACATACGTAGCGCATATAAAATGGAAATATATTACATAATTATTGCAGAATTTCGGCCTATTTTTTAAATAAAATTCTATAATAATTTTTACAACGAATTTTTTTTTTGGAAATGGTTAGACGGCAATCACTAACGAGCTTCTACGTAGAAAAAAATCGTATAATTAACTTTCTGTTATCTAGGGACCAGACAAAAGCCTGATTGTATAGAAGCGGAAAAATTCCCGCAGTAGAGATTAGTATTCATAATAGCTCTCAGTCATAGCCCGACAGAGTTTTGATGCAGCCGAATGTTCAGACGAAGCTTGTCAGTCGCGATAATAGATATGTCCTTTCTTGTCTGCTATTCCGTTAAACGAACTGGAACTCTTTTCTCGTCCATTAAAAAAAGTAACGGAGATACCGAGTTCTCGTCACCTTATTTTCGTCTCGTCCCGTTACACGCGCTGGAATCTTTTTCTATTTTTTTTCGAAAGAAAGTATCAACCACCCCCACGGTTGTACTGTTGCTGTCTTGGACCGTGACAGATTTAGACGCTAACGTCCGCTTCATGAGAGGCATCGAACTCGTCAGTAGACGTCGGCTATGCGTGACGGGAATGATACCGCGCGTCGTCACATTGTCTTAGGCGCGCGTTAAAGTCTCTGCGGCGCGATATCGCGAATGCGCCTCACGCGCGCACCTCCGGTCGTAAAGGAAGACACTTGCGACGACTCGCGCCACTGGCCACAATTTTTTTTTCCTAATCGGCTTTAACCAGCAAAACGATATGGAGAAAGCGAACAAGAGATCTTGATCCCACGGAAAAAGTTGCTCGTTTGTTCGAAGGGTGAGCGAGGGAGGAGGGGAGGAGGGGACGCGCGCGCGACTTCGCATTCTGGAGTAAGTAGATAATTCTGGGATAATATGTCTACGCCGGGGAAGAACGGGAATGCCGCCGACGTCTCGCTATGTGAAAATTACGCGAGCACGAGAACGATAATCGCCACTAATACGCCTCTCACATACGAATGCGATCTTATTTACGGCTCTCCCCGTCACGTTATCCGCCGCCCTCGGTGAGATCTCGACTCTCACCGACCGTATCGCAGCTGGGAGAGGTTGACACACCTTTCAGAATTTTGTATTAGAATTAGAACTTACAGATGGTAGAATTTTTCTTTTGGATCACACACCTTTTCGGGCAAGTAATCGTTGCGGGAGATTATCTGATAGGTTGGCTACACACATAAAATACACGATAGTGCATCTTGAAAAACGTTTTATCGTTTAAAATTGTATTGTCGATATGAGATTCACTATTACTATTTGGCATAAAAAAAGTGCAAAAAAGTGTTTATACTTAAGAGTAAAGCGGGGAGCACACACTTTTGCATAAAGACATAATGCACAACGCATAAGAAAATTGACCAATCAGAGTCTTTCATTTTCATTGTGACAATAGAAATGAGAACTCTGGTTGGTTAATTTTCTTATGCATTATGCATTATGCTTTTATGTAAGGGTGTGTGTCCCCCACTTTACATCTTGTGATCTCCTTTCCGTCGTTCCTCCCGCAAGACATTCATAAACAAAACACAGTGACAAACGAGACCTGTTCTAATTTCTGCTTCAAATTCACCTCGTCATCCACCTCGTCGTAATTCTTTCAATCGGTAATAATTAAAAAAAAAAAATTCAACAGCCTGTATTCGTGTGTGTGCGAATTCGCGAATGTTGCTTTCTACGGCTACCCTTTTCTCCCCGCGCGATTTCCTCCTTTCCCCGCTCATTCGTTCAATCTTCGCATCCGCCGTATCATAAAGCGACCACCGCAGCCGCGCGTGATGAGCGTACACACATGCGTGCACGGCGTGGTAGTCTCCTGCATAAGCACAAATAAAGATAGATAAGGTCGGTCTGTACATCATAGGGACCGCCGTGCGGCGCGGCGAGAGGGAAAAAAGGGACCCAGGACCCCGGCAAGGGCGGAGATCTTCGCGCTAGATTGGCGCGAAGACCCCTTGCGCTGCGAACGTATCCATCGCGAAGCGTATTTACGCGCGCGCGTGTACGTTGCGAACGTGTCAGATCGTCGTAACGGACCTCCACACGCACTCTGAATTGGAAATCTACGTGGAAGCTGCGGGCGGACGAACGGACGAACGAACGGATAATGACATTAACACGTATCACAGATGTTGGTCGGATATAACTATGTAGAATGCACCGCCGAGAACGGACTTTACGTCGCACTGAAACACTGAGAGGAATTATCCGATAAAAAATTAACGAACTGATATTTCTGATCAAAATACTGTTGGATTTTTATACCCGACCAGGATATCCAATTAAATTTAATCGAACATAATGGTATTTCATCAGGACGAACGAACGGATAATGACTTTAACACGTATCACAGATGTTGGTCGGGTATAACTATGTAGAATGCACCGCCGAGAACGGACTTTACGTCGCACTGAAACACTGAGAGGAATTATCCGATAAAAAATTAACAAACGGATGTTTCCGATCAAAATACCGTTGAATTTTTATACCCGATCAGGATATCCAATTAAATTTAATCGAACATAATGGTATTTCATCAGATCAACCGATCAAAAAATTATGAACCGTTATTTCTCATCGGATATTTTCTGATTGGATAGAAAAATTTATCGGTATTTTGACCAGAAATATCCATTTGTTAATCCCTCATCAAATAATTTCTCTCATTGAAGGTATAATGTGGCATTTGAGAAGCAGATCGGAGAAACTGGTGAAGAAATGAGAGTTTTTGGCATATATATTTACGCGGTTATAGTGCAAGAGAGTTGCAATGAGGAAATATCACATCGTGTTGTACTGTGAGGCGCCAATTTTGAAAGAGAATATTAATAATTTGGTCGAAACGCCATCGAATTAAGAATTTATTTTTCATACGAGATTTTCTCTTATTTACCGAAAACTTTTAAAGAGGATGATCCACTTATATTTGTTTTAGCAATATCTAAAAACGGACTTCTCTCCAAAAATTTATCATTTCATATCCGGAAAGAGCATAAGTCTCGAAAAGATCATCACACAGGATACACGGTATTTCCCGATGTTGCATTAGGTTTTCCCCTAATTACCGTGTAACTCGATTGCTCCATCAAACGTAAATAGCCTGACTTATGAATTCCGTGCTAATTTGACTCGCTCGCGAGACGCCTCGACGTCACAAAACGAAACGTGGCACGCGCCGAGAATTCGTTTGTTTTCGAATCTGGAAATAGAAACCGCGGCCTTCTAGGAACATACAACTGAAATCTCTCGGAAGATCTATCCGAGACTCCAGCTATAAATTACACGAGCGAACGTATTAAGGATTCGAAGGAAACATAACGATCGACAATCTTTTCGCCGCTCAGTTTTCTATTTCTCCTGTCATGATCGGCTCCAACTGTTACAAAGAGTTATCTCGAGAAAGTCTCACTAATAACTGGACTAGGTCGCGATCGTTTGTTTTTATTAGCGCGTATTGCTTATTTTGTTGAATCTCCTGTAACATATTCTACACAGCAGCGCGGTTAATATTTTCAAGAATTACGGACGTAACGTGCGATCGATAGCGCATTTTCCCGCATTAGAAATTGATACAAGTCGTCCGAGTCGTCCCAATTGAGCTGTACTTACCAAAATCGGACCTCCGTCTCTCCTAGAGGCTGAAACTGAGGCGCCGAACCACTGCAACGTTTTGTTGTCGATAGGACTCAAGCCGCCGGCCACGTGCGGATTTCTCACGTAGTTTTGTCCTGCAGCAAAAAAATGTTCTTCCCTCAGTCGGTGTCGCGTGTATTTCGCGCAACACAATTGATTTCCCCGTTTACATATAAAATTATCAAGAAAAATATATCGACGCAAAACGTTCACACTGTGTAAAGTGTTAGAAGATGGAAGAGCTATCGGTAGAATATTCGGATTGTTCGCTATGGCGACCTAATAGGATCGACCTTGCAATTATCGTTCGGTGATCTCGCGAGAAGAGTCGCTGACAGATGTCACGGTGTAAAAAAAACCTTAAGTGCACCCCGCGCTTTTCTTGGTCGATTTTACGAACGAAGCGTACCCGTTAGCCCGTATCGGTCGGCTTTGGTCCTTACAGGGAAGTTGTCCTTCGCCTCACTCAACCCTTACCGGATCATCATGACTGGGAAGTGTACGGCCAGTGATCCCGGTACAGTCTCAGATACTCCGGAATTAATTCTGACCGAAACTACCCGGCGATTACCATTATCGTCCACGGTATAACAGCCCGTATTCTCCGCTCGACAGAACTACGCCCGTGCGTCAATCAGAATTTTATTATAAATTAAAAGACATCGACTTAGGATTTCATTAAATTATAGACCGAGATGCATATCGTAATCATTCGGTTACACGTCACGACCGGCATGCCTCTTCGCATCTCATTAGCGAGCCAATTACGGCGATGATGATTGGGCGTTTTCGAGAGCGCGGAGAGGAACGCGTATCTTCGAGCTTCAGAAATTGGCTTTCGAGTAGCACGCGACAAAAAAACGCCGAACCTTGGAGGACGGCCTTACGGTTTTCTGTATTAGGCATCGTCGGCTTCTTGCAGCTCGGACGGTTCTCGGTACCTTCGGACAGTGCGCCGTGGCACTCTCCGGCGAGGTGTACGCGGCGAGAGGAGTTCCTCGAGACGTCCCCGGGCTCGAGAAGCGCCCGAAGAGTGAGTGACCTCGGGGACCCGAGATCTCTTCGAGTCGCTTCCTCGTACGCAGGTAGAATCGACGATACGCGATCGAGAAGATCGCGTTTGGCACTTGGACGTGCCGCAGGTGGAGCAGCGAGATACGTCGCCGCGAATAAGGCTCGAAAGAGAGACGTCGCGGTGGATCGCGACTCCGAGTCTTGGCCCGACGACGACGAGGCACGATCCTCTCTTGTCCAATACGATCGAGATCCCTTTCGACCTCGTACACTAGCGGAAAAATACTCACATTTATTTGTGGGATGTAAAGTTTATTTCTGTCAAGTTCATTTTTGTAAATAAACTTTATATCCCACACACAAATAAATTTTCAAATACTTTTTTCTCTGTGTATCACATTATTTCAACTTGTGACGGATTTCTTTTGTTACACGAAGGGAATAACGATTTTAGGATTTTATGAAATATCGTTCCGTTGTGATAAATAGGTCGCTGAAGGGAGTCATGTTTGTGACTGAGACGGCCAAATGAGAGTAAATGGTCCAATAAGAGCCTCGTCGCCGGATATTTCATCCAAACAACATTATGCCCTCTCCCCCGTAAAGAGTTAAAAAATTGAGAATTGTTGCGTTAAATCCTCAACGACACTTTTTCTATTAGCCCATTTATTTTTATGTAGTCATATGTAATAATATGATTAAATACGTGAAGAACCTATAAAAATTTACATTTTGAAACGTTTGGCGCGTGACAAAAATATGTAAATAATTCGGTTGATGAATTTTGTGCACCAACAATTACGACAAGACTTTCATCTTCGCTGATTTCTCTTCCTATTGATTTCGAGTTTTGTTCACTGAGGAAACGTACAAGTAACGCGAAGGGAACTCGGGCGACTTCGTCGGGTAAACCGTGGCTAAAGTTAGGCGTACTCTGCAAATCAGCAATTGTTGCGAGTCGCGCGTTCGTCGAAGTAATAATAATATTGTTCTCGTCGAGTCTCCATCGTGCGAAAGCAAGCGGCGCGGCGGCTATTTTCGAAGGCGAGTCCGTTCGCGAGGTTTCAACGACACTGTAAATCCGGGCGCTGGCTACCCGCCACTATTTTAAACCGTGACAGTGCAAGCGAAAAAGAAATACGAACGCGTAAAGTGGCCTTCGCGGCGGACCGGCGAGATTTTACGTAATCTTTCTCTTTGATATTGAATATCTTTATCTGCATATTCGGGTACCTGGTGCGCATCACCGTAGAGCAGTCTTCACGGTAGCCTCGCCACAGTGCCGGGAAAGGACCGCGAGAAACGTCCAGTCTTGCGTGACAACCCTTGTATGCTTCGTACGCAAAGGACGACCAACGATCGGGACGATTTCATCGTCGCGCGTGCTCGAGGAAATCGCGAATGTAACGCAGCCGTTGTCGAATACCGGCTACGATCCTAATTGGACAAGATCGAGGCATGATAGAGCATACGATCGGCCTAATTATCGATCAAAGCCAAGTGTTCGCTTACGCGGCCGTGTAGCGCCGGCTATGGCAGAGGAGAGTCGACTAATTGGATGTACAACTCGAGATCTTCTTGTGTGTGCACAGCCGGACGAAAACGTTCTTGCCGTACGAAAGAACGCGAAGGGAAACGAAGGAAGGGAAAAGATGAAAGAGCAGAGAGCGTGCAAACCGCGTACACATAGAAAAAATGTCATTCAGCTGCTAAGAAAAGCGATTACTCAATTTACTTTCCTTTCTTGAGATAATGGTTATTTTCAAAAAAAGATACTTTCTTGATAACGGTCTTAAAATATTCATATTAACGGTCATTAATAATTCATTTAACGGTCTTATAATATTCGTCAGAAGTTTCATAAAAGCCCATTATCATATATAAAGAATTTATTCTCCTTGCGAGAATATCATAAGACTTTATCGGAGAAAATGCTGTTCGATTCTATATAGTAAGCGAATCGAATTTTTGTTTTAATTTAATATTCTTGATACACTGAGGGAAAAATTACTTTAAAATCAACAAATATTTCTTTGATGCCATTAACATATTTATTTAAATCTAAGTTCTGTTTATTTAAATCAAATATTGTTTACCTGATTTAAGTAAACAATATTTAGTTTAAATAAAGAGAATTTAGATTTATAAATAAATATGTTAATGACACCCATAAAAAAAATATTTGTTGGTTTTAAGATAATGTTTACCTCAGTGTAGAGATGCTAAACTTATTAAGACTCAAGATTTTTTATGATGAATTTCTGATAGATTTGCGGATTTATAAACTTATAGAATATATCTATAACGTTCACTAGAATGTATTTTCTATGTGTATACACCGAAAAGGAAGAGACATATCCCACAAGCGTTCCGATCGCTTCTCCTCACCTCCGATCTCGCGCTGCCGACTGATCACGCTCGCGCTCCATTTGCTAGATAATATAACATTAAATCTGTGATTGCGGCTCTCGACCGTGATTTCCCATCAATCGCGCTCGCATGATCAGCCATTCCATCTCTTTCTTCATCGCTCTCTCCGTCTCGCTCGTGCTAACGGAGCGCCGGTAATGCGCGATGCAATGTATTATATTACGCGAGTCGGAACAGTGAATCGCCGCCGATTGTCGAGAGATTAGGAGGTGTGTAACCGCGTCTAATTTGCGCCGCGAGTTTATCCCGCTAATTTGCATTAGCGCGCCTGATTCGCGCGGTCGCGCGCGATGCGGATAATATTTTTAACCGCCGCTTACTGGGATCTTTACGAGGCGGCTGTACTTTAAACGCGGCCACTTTAATTGGTTCGCGCGCGTTATTTCCCGCGAGACTTTACGCAACGTTTCCCCGCGGATTTATGAACTGAACGCCGGCACACCAGCGGCAAGTTCTCTTTTTCTCTCTCTCTCTTTCTCTCGGATAGAGAGCGCGAATTTACGGCGCTAATCGGATTCGTCAGGGATACTTTCCCCCAACGGCGTTTAAATAGTCATACGTTAAGGTAGAACCCAATTAATCGAATCACCCGTGCGATTTCTGCTAAGCTAAAGATCGACTGCTTCAACAAAAAACTCTGAAAGGTCTCGTCCGGAAAATGAATGCGCTTCGTCATTATCTTGGCAATTTGGACAGTTGAGATAGAAAATTTCTAAACGCTTGTAGCAAAGGGATATCACGCTTTTGGCGTATTTTCTGGTGGACATGCGTAATTTCACAAAAAAGATACTTAAATTTAAAAAATGGGACTCCCGAAAATTGAATGCCGGGACAATGTGGACCGATATTCAATTTCTCGAAATAATGAAAGAATGAAGTTGTCAATAATTTGTGACATAATTTTGTAAGACAACTTCGTACTTTCAATATTGCGAGGGACTGTCCCTTTTCCCGGACGTTGTCCCACTTTCCTCCCAAATTTCGGAATTATGCATGTGCACTCATTTTCCCGCGTAAATTGGGTACGATGATGAGTGCGAATAACGTTACGCGCGGCAATCGCGCCAAAGCGTCGAAATATGGTAGGGTCAACGACAGGGTAGGTGTATTGGCACTGACTAAGAATAGCGTGTTCTATAACCAGTTCGCCGGTTACTTCGCGCATCTCGAGATTATGAAGCTACACTGGCGCTGCGACGGCGGAGGGAAGGTAGAATGTGGGTCAAATGCTCAACACAGGACGGACTGGAGAATACGAGGCGGAAATATCTTATTAGTATCTTTCAACGCCCCTGATAAGCGTAGGGTGGTCATAAGTATCGTGATTGTCTGTGAAGAAAAATATCGAACTCGATTGTCGTTTATCTTTCTCGGTACACACTGGTAGAAAGAAAGTTTGTCAGCCGCGTTTATTTCAGCGACTGCGCTTATTAGATCTCAAAGGTAGTTCATCGTCGATTCTCACCGCGATGAGATAATTCAATGAGCCAATTGTCTAATCGACCGTGCGGCTAACAGCGACATACAGACGGCACTCTTCGCAATTAGCATCGAGTACTACTGTGCCGCGCGTCACCCTTCGATTGTCTCCGCAGAGTTCCCCCGAGCGAATACTGAAACCGGTCCTGCGCCACGTCGATTCTGGTTCGTGAATCACGGCCGATCGTTTCAGACCGATGATGGAGTGAGGAAAGGAGAGAGTAAGCGGGCGGATTTTTCTCCGAGGAATGTCAGCGAGACATTGAAGTAGGCGAGACTAAGTCCCGGACCACAATAAGTGTAGCGTGTCCCTCATGCTCTAAGACCTGTAATTCCTGGCAAAAAACGTTTCCCACGCTGCCTTAAAAGTTAGGATCTGGCCAGCATGTTTGAAGCTTAAGAATTACGACTTTAAGCAACAATGGGAATCACTTTTAGCCGAAAATTACACAGTTTTGGAGCTAAAAGCTTACTATATCCATTGTGAACCGGGATTAAGGAGCTCGTGGTAGAGATCAAGGAGGCGGGCCCGTGGTTTCTGATCGGACGTTCAATTAGTCGCTTGATGAATCGCCAATTATGTCACATGACCGGCCACATGATTGAACATGCGGAATCCCGGCGCGTTGATGTTTCAGCGCCGACGGTGAAAAGCTGACGCAAGGATCTAAATTGGTTCGAGATCAGTGGCAGCGAGCGGAATAAGAACTCGCGACGCCAGATTCACTTCCGCTCCGACGCGATGTTTGTCTGCGCGATTGTGCCGTTCGTTCGGTACTATTTTCAATCAGAGGAACAGCCCGTCAGTCGCGCTGTTAAAAGGGTGCCATGTTCGCGCGAGCCGTTTTCGCTCTCGTTCATTTAGCATATTCAGTGGTGCGGGCTAATGCACGGCAATCGAGTTTTCGGCTCGTTGATGGAGGGGGGAAGGATTGAGGATGAAAGTATTTATGCCCGGACGAATTGAGAGCCTGGAGCGTCATCATGCGATCGGGACTGAGATAATGATCCGCTTACCTTTATCGTCGAAATGAATTATGCTACATCTGTCGTCAGCCGCGATGTCGCATTTGTAAACTGCACCTCCGCGATAAACATCGGCCTGTGCGGTCTCGGCCTCTGGTGCACCCACCACCGCCCTGAAAAAAGAGTAACGAGACGATATCGCTAAAATCGCGGTACACTCAATCGCATAAGTACCTTAACATGTATCCTTAACACTAATATATAGGGAGAATATTATATATATTTCTTTTTTCCATATAAATTCTTCTCAATTCTGCCGTGTCTTTAACAGCGCAGAAATGAACTTTGCTGAGAAAAAAAATAACTGAAAATTTGCTTGTAAGATATAAAGTTTATTTCTGTGAACTTTATATCTCACAAATAAGTTCTCAAGTATTTTTTTTTCAATGTATCAACGATGTCTATCTTGTTAAAGAACGTAATAAATATCACGAGAATTTTACTGTATTTCGCTAGAAACATAGCGAATTTCTTAAAAGTACCTCAGCTCTTTAAATATAAGTAGCACGTATGGAAGTAAAAGGATATTCAATTACTATAGAATGTCGATCTATTTCTGAGTCTCAAAATTCTATAGTGATTTTTAATAGAAAATTCTCTCCGTGTACTTAGGTAATGAGATTTTGCTACGATTGTCAAGTTACAATGTTGAGGCTTAATGTATACACTAATGAAAGCACATTGTGCTGTTAATAGGCACCTTAGATACACGCCCGATACGATTTATTCGCGGTCGACTCATGATTGCGAATTGTCTCCGATTGCCTTCGTCGAGAGCGGCGCCGAGATTATCGCTTGTATCGTGCACCGTGTGCCCGTATTTCCGAGATTGAGGTCAACGGTCGCGGGCTATTTCGATCTACTGGCATAAGTTCCGGCAATAAGATCTGCGACTGTGATCCGGTTGGATGACTGGCTGGTGTGTAATCGGCGAGCGATTCTCGCGGTCGAAATCACCGCTGACACATCGGCCAGTCGATCGAGGTGAACGTTTCGACCTCGGATCGCGTTTATAATGTATGCCCGAGCGGAAGATGAAATATCACCAGGCGACATTAGCAGCGAAGGATTAATCGCGGGCGAGGGTCGTGAAGCGGGTGTTAAACTCGTTTCCGGTGGAAATGGGCGTCGCGTTACCACGAAACGTTTCCTCGCGATCTAATTCGCCAAGTGACTTCGGCGCAACTTTTATCACGCGTAATTAGGACCGATGACGGCGCGCCGCGCGTTATGAAGAGAAAGAGGAAAGACAGATGCGGCGTGAAATAACGAAGACCCCGAATTATCCCAACAGATAGCCGCCTCGCGTGCCAAATCGGCCATTATCGTTATTAAACGGAGGATCTGGTTGCTTTTTTACGCGATAATGCTTCTGTCTATGGATTCGCTGCTCCGACATTAGGGTAATTGGCAGCAGGCGTTCGAGGCGTAATTTATTATTCGCGGATATGTAATTGATCGCGAGCAAGGAGGAGAAAGAGAGATTCTCGATTGCGCGGCCGAGAGACGAAGATAAAAGGCGCGATGTACCGCGGGCATTGCCAGCGCGCGCTCGAACAATATGAAAATGGGATGGTGAGACAATCGATCGTGTAATTATATACGGAGGGCGCGCCGTACCGCAAAGCCCGAGAGTATCGGCATCGCCCTGACCTATCGGTGAGGTAATTAGTTTCGTTCACGTCGGAGAATATCCGCTCGCGCGCGCTCTCGAAAGGTGTTTTTCCACGCTTGATGTTCCGCGGCCTAATTTCTCCCCTCGTGTGAGCCGTGGGTGTATTTCTCCGTACGAAATCTGATCCTAGGGGTCTCTGCCGGTGGAATTTCACATGTTACACGCGTGGTTTAAAAGTCACACCCGTTATTGACGGTGCCTCTGAGAACATATCGTTCGTTATCGTCGAAAAAAGTCGAACAAAGAAAGCGAAGAAAGAAACTAAAGTCCATAGGAAGTTAGGATCCTAAGATAGGATTGTTTAGAAGTTGCATCAGCATTATTTTGGCTTTAAGTGAAACTTAAACATATCTATCTTTATCTTTCTTTCTAAATAAAGACAGACATATATTTACTCGTAACTCTTTTAGGATAAAACTTTTTTTAAAGGCGACTCTAATGTTTATTAGAAATTTACATAACATACTTAGATAAATGTGTGAAATATAAGAAACCTTATAATATTTATTACTATTATGATTATTGCTTGGAAAAAAATCGATCACTGAATGTTCAGTGTAAAATAATAGACATTTCTTACGAAATCTATATCTATCTATTTCTTACGAATAGACGAATCTTACGTGAGTTGATCACAAATTAAATTATTAATTAAAAATTAATTAAAATATTGATCACAAATTTATAAATTTGTAAAATTGATTAAAATATTGATCACAAATTTATAAAGGATTAAGTCTCGCTCAAAACCAAAATAACGTTGGTGCAATCGAGCTTCAGCCACAGAAAACTTTTGTCGATCGATGCCCAACACCGTTCTGCGCTCAGAAGCGGATATTTCAGATATTATTAGCGAAAAAGCTTGCAGAGTATCGCCAAGTTACCGTTCGTGATTGACGAGTGCCGTCGGGACTTTTATCGCCCGACATTGTATCGAGAGATTCCGGAATATCGGCTCGGCGAGGAAGGAATAAAAGCTTTCTCCATTTACCCGACGGAAATTGTCCCATCGACCCACTTATGTGTCGATAGCACGAGGTCATGTCGGTGTATCGGCGCCGGTTTCGGTCGCGAGATATCGCAACATTGCGTCGGGGGTCGACGCGTCGGCGATCCAATGCCATCGATAAGTACGATCGAACTCGGTAAAAACACGCGCCGTGCTATCGGATTCCTGTGGAATGCGATATATTATGTACTCCTAAATCATCGGCCGACGCGATAATCTGAGTGACAGCCGAGCGGGAAATCCGAATATAGGATTTCCACTCCGATCCGCTGACCTGCTTTCATAACACCCGCTCGTTCTGAGCCTATTAATGCGTTCGAATGCGCGACCGTCAATGAACGATAGCCGATAACGTGTCGTCGGCTATTGTTCCACGACCAATCGTTCGCATCCAGCGCGTCCTGCGGGCTTTAATAATCGACACTTACACACTTGTGATTAATGATATCAGCGTTTTAATAGCGTTTTAGCGGCCTTTAATAGTTCACACTATTCTTGATTGCCACCCAGATTTGCCGATTTCGGATCAGTCAAAAAATTTGAGTCAGATTTCATTTTATTGTATTTGATGATAAATTCATCGTTGTTTATCATATTTCATTCTAAAAAGTCCTCTATCGAAGAAGATGGACGGTCACCACCAAAGGGGAAGGCCAAACTTTTTATAATCGATCCGATACAAAAATTTTGCTGATAATTTAAATTATTAAAGATACGGTAAAAAGCAATATTTGCTTTATAAGTTAAATATATGTAGCTTGAACTTATCTCTCTCGATTGATGCAATAATTTAACTGATGATTTAAATTGCTAATGATAGAGTAAAAAAATACTTATTTTATAAATTGAATAGAGATGCAGCTTTTGTATATCTTTTACCTTATTGGCTCTCTATCGATCAAATACTCAATTTTGCAGACGCAATTAATGAGACACAGTGTTATAGTGTCGGTCGACAATGATCTTTGTGATCGCGAATGCGCAATTGTTCGATCATTCACTCATTCACCGCAGACGGAAATCTCGAGAAGATAGATCTCATGTCGTAAATTTTCACGTCGCGAAACATGTGAAAATACCATTATCTATAGAACAACCTTGGCACACATTGGCTTCGCGACTGCACGACTGGTGATGCAGCGCGTAGGTAAGCGCCACACGTGGAAAGAAGCGAGTCGATCGCACCGCTTATGTAAGCGATTCATAAGCGTAGTGCACTCGACAACATCATACAGCATCGTCGACTGCAACGTATGCCGATAACAAAGAACGACAAACTAACTGGAATTATTGGCGACAATCGAACGATTCGGAATCGAATGATGATCAAGTCCCGCGTTTCCTGCCATTACACTCTAATTATCGTTGACGTCCCACGTCATCGTGATTAATAACGGAATAATCGGGACAGGTTCACCTTCGTAAGCCGATCAAGCCGAGATAATACGACGTTCAATTGAATGAGCTCCCGCGAAGTAATGGTCTGAGGTAATAATTACAGACAGCATATATAATAATAGCGGATAGAAACGAGACGACCGCGCGGAACACGTCTCCCTGGTATATCGCGCGGCAAAAAGAAGAGCGGCAATAATTGCAACGGGTCAGGATACCGATGGGAGACATCATGACTGGCGTGCGAACTGGCGTTTCTTTTAAGGAGCGAAAATTGGACACGTACACGAGCGTTACACAGAGGCTCGAATCCCCCGTGAAGAAGCAAGTCCTAATTTTCGCCGCGTCGTCGCTCCGTCTGAACAGCTGATCGTAATTACTGCTCTCTACACCCAACGCTCATCAAATTGAATTTATCTCGTGCGTTGTGTTCCCAGCAATTCTTCTGTTACTTCAATTTCAATTGTGAAGATGTTACAATGAACAATCTAAGTCCAAATTGAACCGATCCTGCGCGTTGTGCTGCCAGCAATTCTTTCGCTATTTCAATTCCGCTTTTGACGTAACGTTACAATTAGCAGCAATTACAATTACTATTACTATTAAAATATTAAATTACAATTACTATTTTATAAACTCAATGGTCATCAAATTGAATTGTTGTTGCGAGTTATGTTCCCAGCAATTTCTTTTATATTTCAATTTTTGTGTTATTTCTTTTATTTTTTACAATCGTAACGTTATAATAAACAGCATAATTACTACTCTATAAATTCAATAGTCATCAAATTGAATTGTTGTTGCGAGTTATGTTCCCAGCAATTTTTTTTATATTTCAATTTTTTTTGTTATTTCTTTTATTTTTTACAATCGTAACGTTATAATAAACAGCATAATTACTACTCTATAAATTCAATAGTCATCAAATTGAATTGTTGTTGCGAGTTATGTTCCCAGCAATTTTTTTGTTATTTCAATTCCAATTGTAACACAATGTTCCAATGAACAGCTGATCGTAATTACTACTTTCTAAA